CCCCCCCCCAGACACTGTGGTCGCGTATTCACCCCGCAAACACGTCCAGGGCGTCTCTGCTGATTCTTAGGTGAAGGGCCACCGCGCAAAGTCGCGCCTGCAGAGGGCGACAGGTAGGGACCCTTCAGCACGCGGGACAAACGTGACCGCAGCCGTGCCGACCGCCGCGTGGGGCGGGGAGGAAACCCGGGGCGCGCATGGCGTGGGGAGGTGTCGCCGGAGCCGCGGAGGCGGGGCAGGGGCAGCCGGCCCGAGGCCTCCGGTGCCTCCGCCAAAGCGCGGCGGGCTGGCACCTGCTCTGCCCACGACCCCGGGGCGCCCCGGGCAGGTAGCCCGCCGGACTCCGGTGGAGCGCGGGCCTCGGGCCACAGCTCCGTGGGGCAGAGCTATCGGTCATTTCGTCTCCGGCCTCAAAAACGACCCCGAGCCCGAGCGGGCGACGCCTCGGCCGGTTTCGGTCCGACCTGCGCCGCAGCACCGCCCGGGCGGTGTCCTCGCTCGGCCTGAGGAGCCGCAGGGACCCCCGCGGGACGTGGTCGCGGGCGGCGCACAACTACCGGCTCGGGCGGGAGGCTCGGCCGCCCCGGGGAGGGGGAGAACCTGGGGACTCGGACCGAAAGGGGCTAGAGGAGAACCCCGTGATGGAGGGGCCGCCTGACGTCCGCGGGGCCGCCGCTCGGCCAGGGCCGCGCGGGGCGGCCGCGTACCTGAGACGCACGCGGAGACCGCGCCACCTGAGGGGGGGCGACTAGCAGCCCTCGGAGCATCCCGCGTGTCGCCGCGGGGGCTGCGGCTGGCTTGTCACCGGCTACACACGCGGCCGGAGGCACTGGGCTCGGTCTCGGGGGGGCACGCCCACCTGAGGAGCCCGCCACGCGCCGCCCGACTGCCCGCCCCGCGGCCCCGTGGCACTGTGCGTCAGGAGGGCGGGCCGTGCGTCAGGGGGCGGGACCAGAGCGCCGCTCGCGCCAGGCCCCGCCCCCTGCCGGAAAGGGGCCGGAGTTTCTCACTCCCGGCGGGACAGTCCCTCCGCCGAGCATTCTCCGCCGCCCGATCTTCGCCCTTTCGGGGCCTCCCCTGCCCTTGGGCGGACGCGCGGGGTCGAGGCCGGGCGCGCGGGGCGCCATGAAAGGCTGCCGCCTGGCGGGCGCCGCGGCGGAGGGGCGGGCCGGCTGAGGGCCGCGCGGGCCGAGGCCTGTGGAGCCTG